GCTCATGGATTTAAACAAAGCATTAAGAATTAAATCAAGCAGTAAAATAACTAGCATAAGATTTGGTTCGATCTGTAATGACTTGTTTAGGTCATTGAGTGACTCATCGTATCTACCTATTTGTTTATAAGTAACTCCACGATTATTCCATATAATCGGATTATTCGGGTCAATTGTTAATGCTTCATTAAAATCTTTAAATGATTCCTCATATTTTCTCATTTCTCGATAAGTGCATGCACGATTATTTAACACTATTGGATCATTTGGGTCAATCCTTAATGATTCGTTAAAATATTTGAGTGCTTCTTCATATTTTCTCATGGCCCGATACCTACATCCACGATTATTTAATGCCTCTGAATCATTTAGTTCGGTTTTCATATTTAAATCAGTAAATGATTCTTCATCATCATTTTGTTCGATTTCTAAGGATTTGTCTACACCTGCAAGGGAGTTGTTTTGTTCAATTTCTAACGATTTATTTAGATCTGCAGACGATTCTTTATGTTTGTCTGTCTCTTGATGCATAACATCATCAGGATTAATTTTTAAAGGGCTTTCTAATTCTTTAAGCAATTCAAGAATAGAAAGCGTTATGTTCGATTTTTCTGAAACTGTAAGTGACTCTTCACATTCTTCTAATGTTGTAAGCGACTTAAGAATAGACAATGTTATGTCTAAATCTGCAGGTGATCGAGGTAATTCAGGTAATTTTTCATGTTTATCTGTCTCTTGATTTATAACATCATCAGGATTAATTTTTAAAGGACTTTCTAATTCTTTAAGCAATTCAAGAATAGAAAACGTTATGTTCGATTTTTCTGAAACTGTAAGTGACTCTTCACATTCTTCTAATGTTGTATTTGACTTAAGAATAGACAACGCTATGTCTAAATCTGTAAGTGATTCTCCACATTTATCTACCTCTTGAAATATATGATCGTTATTTGGACTGAGTTTTAGGGGAATTCCTAATTCTGAATGTGGTTCAGTAATAGACGTCGTGCCTGGTTTGTCTGAATCTTCGTGTTGGTTTTCATTTCTACTCATAAGATTATATGTTGATTGGCGACAAATCAATGTTAAAACGTCATTCGGATTAATTTGTAACGACTTATTGAAATCAGCAAGTGATTCTTCATATCTGCCCATCTTTTGATATACTAGTCCTCTATTAGATAATGTTTCATAATTAACTGGATTGATTTCCAATGCTTTATTCAAGTCATCAAGTGATTTTTTATATAAACCTATCTCACTATATGCTAAACTACGATTGTTTAATGTTATAACATCATTTGAACTGTTTTCTAATGCTTTATTGAAATCAGATAATGATTCTTTATATCTTCCCATCTGTCGGTAGGTTTCTCCACGATTAGACAATGTTATGGCGTTATTTGGACTGATTTCTAACGATTTATTTAAGTCAGCAAGGGATTCTTTATATTTTTTCATATATTGATATGATAATCCACGACTATTCAATATAATAGCATCATTTGGTTTGATTTCTAATGATTTATTAAAATCAACCAGTGATTTTTCAAATCTATTCATATTATTATATGTTACACCACGATTAAACAGCGTTAAAGCGTCATTTGGATTAATTTCTAAAGATTTATTTAAATCAGTAAGAGATTCTTCATATTTGCCCATCTGTTGATATATTAATCCTCGATAATTTAATGCTTCAGCACCATTTGGATTAATTTCTAAAGATTTATTTAAATCTATGAGTGACTGTTCATATTTGCCCATATTTTGATATGTTAATCCACGATAACGTAATGTTGTAGCATCGTTTGGTCTAATTTCTAATGATTTATTTAAATTAGCAAGAGATTCTTCATATTTGCGCATCTTTCGATATACTATTCCCAAATTATTTAATGCTGCAGCATCATTTGGTTTAATTTCTAAAGATTTATTTAAATCTCTGAGTGACTGTTCGTATTTGCCCATATTTAGATATGTTAATCCACGATAACGTAATGTTGTAGCATCGTTTGGCCTAATTTCTAAAGATTT